CATTTTCTTGGACAAATAAGGGTTTACGGCCTTGGAGCCATGCTAGGCCGTAAACTCCCTTAAAGGGATCAAATTGATGTTTTGAATCATTCCAAGTCCTTAAACCAAGTCTAGAAATCATTCCCTAAGTGTTGGAAGTCCAAAAGGCACCATAAATCACCCATCATGAGTTTACGGCCGTAAACTCATGGGGAAGGGTGTTTTGGCCGTAAACTCCCTTAATAGGAGTGTTCCTTTGATGTCCCAACTCATTTCCCAAGTCCCTTGTGCCATTCATGTCCCTAAACGCCACCCGGGTCCCACCAAACACTTGTATCGGAGTGTTATCGCGACCTGAAGCAATTGTCCCTATCCGACAATCAATCTAAGTCCTAATTAGATACAAATGTGTATCTTTACATGATAATTAGGAACCTCGTGTGTTTACAAGTTCCGGATCAACTCTTAGCATCCAAACCGTCTCGTACCTCGTTCGGTGAGTTCATACCCCTACGGCTTTTTCACTGTTTTCAATGTTTTCAGGGGTGGAATACAAGCAAACTAAAACTGTTTTCCAATCACAATTATGTGTTTCAAACATTATCTGACAAATCTATAAACTCTTTACTCCTTATGTATTATGCTGAGCATAAGGAATGACTACTCGATTTCAACTAAATGGATTTTAGTTAAGAAACAATCAAACTAATCAAATTATTATGGGAATAATTTGGGGGTCTTTACTGTGCTTTCTATCGTATACTGATATCTGTACTAAATTATTAGATAAACTATGTCTGTTCAGTTTATCTCCGTATCATTTGAATGTATTATCCGATGATTTCATGTATGTATCTATACTTTACTGTACTAAGTTTCATAACTTTCTGTATGTCAATATCTTATAAGAACCCTGTGAATAGTTTAGTACTAGCTTGTGAGATAGTCACTAACCTTTATGGATGATTAGTAAATCCTTTCTGGAAGTGTAACCAGAGTCTCCTGGAGGGAGAGCGCGGAATTTGTGAATAGATCTATTCGGGACTGACAATCCCACACCTTAACTGCTAGCTACAGTTAGGCGGGCACGCCTAGGGTGACAAATTTCTGGATATCGTTCGACGTCTGACAAACGTCAAGGAGGTCACGTTGTCGTATCAGTATGGTTACCCGACTCACAATATGTATTAACACCAGCTTATTCACAGTTTGGGTTCAGGATCTTTATTTCGTTCGGGATAGTGATCCCATGGTTTTGTATCTATATTCTATGTCTCTTTCGGGATTGTGATCCCATGGTATTGTTTCTATGTCTCTTTCGGGATAGTGATCCCATGGTATTATCAAACTATTCTATATCTATGTCCTATACGGGATAATGATCCCATGGTTTATTCTTATATCTCTTTCGGGATAGTGATCCCATGGTATTAACTAAACTATTTGGTATCTAGTTCGGGATAGTGATCCCATGGTTTTATGTCTACAACTTGTACGGGATGTCTTTCCATCCCATGGTTTCTAAATCTGTGAACTATTCGGGATAGTGATCCCAAGGTTTTCTAAATCTATATCTTATACGGGATAGTGATCCCATGGGTTCTAAAATTTGTATCTTATTCGGGATAGTGATCCCATGGTTTCAAATCTATATTTACATACATACATAAACTTATCTCGTGTTAGTTCGGGATAATAGTCCCATGATCTTGAACCGTACTTTCGAATATCTCAAACTAACTTATATGTCTTTCAGGATAGTGATCCCAAGGTTTTCTAAATCTATATCTTATACGGGATAGTGATCCCATGGGTTCTAAAATTTGTATCTTATTCGGGATAGTGATCCCATGGTTTCAAATCTATATTTACATATATACATCAACTTATCTCGTGTTAGTTCGGGATGATAGTCCCATGATCTTGAACCGTACTTTCGAATATCTCAAACTAACTTATATGTCTTTCGGGATAGTGATCCCAAGATTTTCATTATATAGTTTTGTGTGCTAAACTATACTTTGTGATATATTATTGATCTTACAATTAGGAAAATATGGGGTTTTCCTGGGGTAAATACGATACATAATCGAATTGGTAACAAACGATAACTTAAACAATTTCACATAAGAAAATATGGGATTTTCTTGGATAACAAATCTTTTCGGAAACTAAAGGAAACCGATACATTTTCACAAAACAAAACCGCTTATGAACTCACCAGCTTTATGCTGATTTTCAAACCGCTTGTATTCTCAGGTCCAAGTTAGACAGGTACCCGGTGATCTCTTTTGGCGAAGACGGAGTGCGTAGAAGACTCGTCTCAACTTTTGTTAATATGATGCATATGTATATTTGTATAACTTTACTTTTGAAACACATGTAAACTTTCATATATATGTAATGTAATGTTTGTTTACTGTGAATACTATGTACATTGGATTTGATACACAACGTGGTAGTCAACCCCGGAGACGTTTCCGCCTTTGGTTTTCGGGGTGTGACAAATGGAAACCATAAAGTTGGCAACTTTATGTGTTATTAGGGTCTTAAGAGTGATATGGAGTTCGAATCTAGTGAATGGTTGATTTTTGGAACCTTGCATGTAAGTTGGATGTCTTTTCTTTAACTTTTGACCTAAATGAGATCTAGACATGTATTGGACATATATGTCTCAAAAGCATCAACTTTCCAGTGTATAATAGAGTTATAAGACCATTTAGAAAATTAAGGTTCAAGGCTAAATGGATTAAGGACTAAAAAGTTGGACTTTTAGCTTTAGACTGTTCTCACGATGTGAGACTTGGGGTCTCATGACATGAGGGTTGAATGATCCCGTTTCTGGTTAGCTTATTGGAGTTTACGGCATGGGAGAATGTTTCTCACGATGTGAGGTTAGCTCCAGTGACTTTTTATGTCTGAGTTGACTGAGTTGAGTCGGGATGAGATGGAATCGAACGGAGCGGGATCTCACGACATAACGAAGGACCGGTCATGGCGTGAGGATGGATAGCTGACATTTTGGGCTTTTGGTTGGGCTTTTATGGAATTGGGCCTTATACGTCTTTCGGATTTGGGTCGGTTATTGGACTTTTAGTGCAATTGAGTTTGGGCTTTGGTCTTTAGGCCAGTTGAGGGGAAGGGTAAAATAGTCCTTTACCCTATGAGTTGTGATCAGTGAATTAATTCCCGATTATGGTTTATGACTTGATTATTGATCATAATTGTATTTGATTGGTTAGTGCGGGGATTTTCAGTCTAGTAGCTCGAGCATCTGTTGGATTGTCAACGGAATGAGGTGAGTTTGCTCAATATACTGTAGGACATTAGGATTGTATGTGCTTGTAGTCTTTGTGACTCCTGTTGTATGTATGTATGCCTATGTGCATGTTTGCTATATGTATGTGGGGTGAAATAGACTCGGAGGGTGAAATAAACCATGTACAGCCTCGTGCTAACATATGAGTTGAAATAGACATGTGGGTGAAATATACCCGGTACGGCTTGAGCCAACACATGAGTTGAAATAGACTCGGTATAATCCTGAGCTGGCAGATATGCATGTTATGTGGTATTTTAGGGAACTCAGTAAGCTTTATGCTTACGGTTTATGTTTAAAATGTTTTTAAGGTAATCCCGGTTCGCGAGGGAAGGGCCCGGCTTGATCGCAACGCATCCACCAATGTTTCCGCACTCTATGATTTTGAGAATTATACTCTAATATACATTTGAATGATTGAATGATGTTTATGGTTGAACTAAAAATGATAATTTTACTTTATAATTTTTTGGATGTTACAACTAAGCTCGATTAGGCTCACGATCCCAAAACGAGCATATATATATATATATATATATATATATATATATATATATATATATATATATATATATATATATATATATAGTTAAGATCAAATAAGAAGGAAATTTTTGGTAGGAAGGTAAGAAGTTTTTTTTTTTTTCTACATATTTTTTTCGCGAACAAACAAAATGAATCATTAGATGATTCATTTGTAAGATGATTTACAAGAAAAAAATCTAAAAAAAACATCTCGATGATTCATTTATATAATGATTTTGTTGTTATTCACTAAAATTGTCATAAAATTGAATTTTTTCTTAATTTACTTAAAAATGAATCATAAATATGTTTTTTTGGGAATTTTTTTATTGTGAATCATCTTACAAATGAATCATCTAGTGATTCATTTTTTTTGTTCGTCAAAAAAATATGTAGAAAAAAAACTTCTTACCTTCCTACCAAAAAAAATTCTTACCGGATCTATATATATATATATATATATATATATATATATATATATTAAAAAATATTTCTATTTTTATATATTAAAATTAGTAATTATTTTATTAATAATTATCATTTTAACGAGTTAAGGTGTACCGTGTACAAGCCGAATCCGAATCTATATAAATCTATACAAACCGAGCCGAATCCGAATCTATATAAATCTATACAAACCGATCTCAAGCTCCATACCATAAAACTCAAAACAAGCCGAACTCGAACTTAAGCTCTAAAATTTTTAAACAAACTGAGATCGAGGCTAGTTATTCTTGATTCGACTCAACTTATTTGCAACCTTTTGACCGTCTAATCTCCCGTTTAAATTTATCATCTTATATATTCGAATCATATAAATATTTCTTATTAAAAATATATATGATATATTAATGAAGTGACAACTAATTCTATACTTTTACATATGAAATAATTAAAAGATGGCATGGGCCATCTACAAAATCCACGACCCATTACATTATCGTAATTGTCGGTTAAAACCATTTTAAAGAAAAAATATACCATTATTGAATAATAATTTCATGTTATAATAAAATAATATTTGGATGTGTATTTGTAACCGTGTATTATATTTTTTTAGTGTTTGATTAAAGCAATTATTTTTCATGGATCAAGTAATTATTTTTCTGGTAATTTATTTATGATCACCTATATTACCAATCTTCTTAAATCTTAATCCTAAATTAATTTAAAAAAGAAAAAAACTAGTATACTGATAACTTTATTATGAAGAAAAACAAGCATCGAACAAAAACCGGTACAAAAATAGGCAATAAATTTCTACATTTGAAATTAATAATTCAATGACACATAAAAAATATATTTCTATCATTTTCTGTATTAAACTTTTAAGCAATCGAAATTTACCTAATAATTAATTCTCTGAAAATTACATATATTCAAATCCCGTTTTTTTTTTTAACTTATCTTGTTAAAACACATTATTTAATTTTACTTAATTCATATTATATAATCGGGTTTAAAACATTGATCTTGGCCTAACACTACTCCAATTATTATTTATAGCTTGCGTATTATCTTAATTAATTTAACTGTCCCACGCAAACACACAAAACGCGCCCATTTCATTTCTTTCACATTTTGTCCTTTTCTCCTTCAAAGCTACACAGACACACCTATAGCTCACCGGTCACCGGACTACATCTACCCTCCGGCCAACTTTCCTCTTCCTCGTCTCTCACACATCTTTACAGTCTCCGGTGAACATGTGGATGCGTACATCTTAGTGAAAGAAGCTCATACACGTTTGTTGCTTCGAATTTCGCAAAAGGAGTAGGTCGCTGGTTAGTTCTGGTTTACCTAATTTTCTAACTTTCCAAACCCAGATATGTCTGTTAGAATTAGATTACCTTCTTTTGTGACAACTTATGCCCAAAATCGGAGCAGTCGTGGTTGGTGTAAGCGCGGCTCCTTTGATTGATACTGAATTTTTACATGTTTATTTTGTTTTTAGTTGTGTCTCGTTGCTTAATTTCTTATAATTTTGTGAATTTTGGTGTTTGGTGTACATTCGACGATTTGAATTGTTTCCTATGAACTTTGTGAAATTAGTTTTGTATCTGAATTTCGGAATTTTAGTCGAATTTCAACAATATGAAGCGGTTCGTACGAATGTTGGAAGAATTGGTTTGGATAACCCAAAAACAGAAGGAAGAAGACCTGTAATTAACTTGTGATGCTGTTCATAAGTACTTTTAAAAGTTCCGAGTGATCTCTTTCGTTTCTTTTAAAGTGGGTATCTGGTTAGCAGTAGTTTATATGCCTAAAACCTCCATGTTCATGTGTATGTTTTCACAACACATATTCTGTTAACTGTTAACTTTAATCTTTCTGTACTGAATAAGTTCTTATCGTTTTCAGATAATCTTGTAAGAGGGATCAAGTTATACTAACTCAAAGCCTCTAGATCTTTCATCAATCTTCAGTTGGTTTCTTTTGCCTATCATGCCAGTTGCTGTTAAGGATCAACAGGATACGTACAATCACAGAACATACTTTCCCAGTGAGGTACTCCTTTAACTATTGTCAGTATTTAACGTGTTTGTTTTATTCTATCATGTCCTATATGAGAATACCTTTTGTCTTTATTGTCTTCTTGAAAGATCTATAATTGTTATCGAGTTTCTGAAAGATAATGTCCCTTACTTTGCAAGGAACATGCTGGAAAATCAACTCTCAAAGCTGATAAGCAAGGTGAGCATTATTCAATCTGCACTTATACTTGTAAACTGGGAGTAGTTACCATGATTAGTTTATTATATGCATAGCTAATAGAGTATTAGTTTTCTGCAGTTACCCCACCCAAACCCACATGCCTTAAAGAGGAAAAATCATTAATTTGTACCAAAAATTCACAAACTATTGAAAGTCTTCTTCCTGATGAAGAAGATCTCTTCTCCGGGGTTCTTGATGAATTGGGTTGTACTACTGCTACTATGAATGGTGATGATGAAGATTTTGATCTGTTCAGCAGTAGTGGAGGCATGGAATTGGAAGAAAATTCTAAATTATATTTCACTCAACAGAATCCTGCAATTACTAAAGGACTTAATAACACTGATCAAATTCAAATCAGTACTTCAGACTTTTCAATTCCCTGTGAACACCCTACTTTCCATCATCAATCACTACCCATCAGCCATGAAAGTTTCTATAATATGTTGAATCCATACATCCCACAAATGGAACACATGTTTAGGGGTTCACCTTATAACACCTTCCAAAATCATCATCATCATCTAACCCCTGTAATCTGGTCACATTCTCCTCCATATGTTCATAATCAAAACATCTGTGCTCATAGCTTCCCCAATCTTCATGGGTTATCAGAAATGCTGCCACCTGTCTTCTCATTTTCACCTATACACAAACAACAAGCAATCGGAATCGGAATTGGAATCGGAATGGAGGAGTCTTGTAAACCAGATGTTGTTATTCCAGTAGCATCTCCTAATTCCATGATGTCATCATCTCCACATATTAATAAAACCCATAAATCTCCCAAAAGGGAAACAGAAACTACATTGCCATTATCTTTTATAAGGCCAAGGGGAAGAACAAGAAGAACCTCACATGGTAGACATGAAACTGTTTCCTGTCACACTCACACAGATGACAAAAAATATGAACTTGATATTCAACGTGTCTTGCGTGGTGAAGACTCTAGAACAACATTGATGATCAAAAATATTCCAAATAAGTAATTGTTTCTCATTCTACATATCATCAAGATTCAATATGTTAGGGTTTACTTTAGGGTTTATTAAGTTACGTATTATTGCAGGTATAGTTCAGCAATGCTGTTGGCTGCAATTGATGAACATAATCAAGGAACTTATGATTTCATTTATCTGCCTCTTGACTTCAAGGCAAGTATTATTTCACATTTTTTTTTATACACCCATAATCATATTTTCTATAAAAGGTGAAGTTTCATGTATACTTTTTAACAGAATAGGTGCAATATGGGGTATGCATTTATAAACATGATCGATCCACTTCAGATAGTGCAGTTTCACAAGGTGATGTTTGTTGTCTTTTCAGTTGAATTAAAAACAATATGAAATAATGTTGATATGTTTTTTCAGTCATTTCATGGGAAAAAATGGGAGAAATTCCACAGTGGAAAAGTGGCATGTCTTGCATATGGTCGAATTCAAGGAAAAGCTGCTTTAATTGCACACTTTCAGGAATCAAGCTTGATGAATGAAGATAAATGTTGTCATCCTATTCTCTTTACCACAAATGGCCCAAATGCTGGCAATCAGGTATCATAGATTTTTTCATTTGGACAAAGGGCATTCACGTCTTTTTACATATGCAAAACAGCCCCTAACTTTATTTATGTGTGTCTGTGTAGGAGCCATTTCCCTTGGGTCCAAACATGAATTCTAGGCGACACAAGAACAGGTGTAATGTGCGCCAAATGAATGAAAACCTAGAAATTTCATCGACTTCGTATGCGTGTCAAATAAAGAACTCCATATAAAAAAGGGGAGAGTGTTTGGATAAAATATAAATATCCGTAGTTGTTTGAGTAGTCACTATCTTGATCCATTTTTTGTTATTTCAAAAATGGATCAAATTCCACTTGTCGCAACTCTTGTGTTGATCCATTTTTGATAAAAATTTAAGGAATTTTATTACTTGGGTTTTTTCATTACATGAGTATGAGGTGTACTTTGAGTGATGATTGTGTTAGGTTTTCTATCAACACACATAATTAAAAGGCGCGGAGGAAAATAAAGGACAAAAGATTCGAGCTTGATGGTTCTAAAATATCTATAAAGAATATGTTTCATTTTAAACAGGGTTTGATATAAAGTTTTATGCAAAAAATATTTCACGATATGATAAGATTACTGGTGATCACTGATCAATGGGTAGATTTTGTGAACTTTTTTCCAGCTTTATACACTTAAATACGATATATGTAATATTCATAATTTGGGTTCAATAGAAAATTGACACAAATGTATTATTTCGTGTTCATTTTTATACCTTGGTGTAAGAGAACCGTTTATGCGTTAAAAACCAATGAAATACTAAGGTTAACCATTTACTATGAATGTTATATATTTTTAATTAAAGGGTATTCTTGTTTTTTACGAGCTCTCTTGAAGAAGGTTTACCATTTGGTGAAAGATTCGGATACGCCTGCTGAACAACGTTGCGAACCTTCTCCTTGCTGCCCTAGTTGAAGCCCGTTGTACTTGAACTTGGGGCCTCCCATATAGGAACGCCTTAATCAAGTGAACCACTAGATTACGGTTACTAGAAATGTTATCTTATTCGTAATTATTGTATAGAAGAATTATAAAATCGAATATCTTATGATATCGAAATATGAAATTTTGTATACGATGATGGGTAGTATTGCATTTAAATGACAAGAAAGGATTATATCTATAAAAAAATATATAGTTCATTCAATATATGTATTTCCTATTGGTGCATATTATTGGTGGTATAGATCTTTGTACATCATGGCCCACATTAACGACTCTAGTTTGTATTTATTTTTACCTTGTATTCTCTTAGAAATTATGATTAATGAGAGACAATATTTCACAGGGAAAGTCATATTATAATATTATAATATGGTTTCAGAACAAAATCTTATCAAGTCTTTGTAAATTCTAGCATTCCTTTCTCTTCGATATTCTAGCATTCCTTTCTCTTCGATATTCCTTTCTCTTCGATATTCTAGCATTCCTTTCTCTTCGATATTCTAGCCACCTTCAACCCTAGTGTGTCAGTCTCTCTTCATTGACAACTCCTCTATGAAAAACTCGTAATTGAGAAGCCATACGACATCATCAACATCAAGTCTTACATCCCTCTCATTTTTTATTTGATCATTTCTTATTTAGATTGTTTGAACTATGAAAAACCCATTGCATTGGTTTTGGTGTTGTTGATCATCCCGACGAACCAAACAAAAAAAAATCCAATTACTTTTAACAAATTTGAAAGAAACGACATTGATTTCATTGTGAAATTATGGATTTTTGAAACGATTTTACAATCTCTTTTACGGATGAACTTGAAGAAGGTATGGAAGAATCTTAAAGCACTTTTTTTGTGACAATAAAGATGCAAAGGCAATTCAATTGTACAACGAGCTACACAACATCTCCATCAGTGATTCCTCCAATACTGACTATTGTACCAAAATCAAGTCGATTGTTGACCTTCTTGATAATACTGATGACATGATCCCTGAGAAAAAGTTAGTCTCCTACACCATCAAAGGGCCCTCCCCTAAATTTGACTATATAGCTAGTATCATCTGTCGTCGCTCACCACAACCATAATTCTTGGAGACTATGTCACTTGTTGAAGAATAAAGAATGGATAAAGTCCATCATCGGTTGCTTCCAACCTCTCACAATGATCACTCGACAACTTCTTTAGTCTTTACAACCAAGGAATCCAACAAACTGTGGCCGTAGTGGAAGATGTTGTTGTCGCGATCAAATTACATTTTCTCCCTCATTGCCACAACATACTTCCCACTACATATTTGGGTGTGGGTATGGCTGGATCTCGTGGAGCCTCCACACACCATCGCTTTCCTTCTATCTTGTTGGGCCAAACCCAAACATCACTACTGATTTCCATAGTAGGCCACCAGCCCATTACCAACTTCCGCCAACAACCATAATTCAATAACGAATGCTCCACCAGCCACTAGGCTAGTCCTTTAGTCCCCACCTGTACTGTTACTCGGATAAACCAAGCTTGCCTCCTCCATGGACATTGGTTGCTAATACGAGTCAAACTTTTCAAGATCAAGCAACTTCTCTCACTCAAATGTTTAATACATGTCTCTTAACAAACTTGATATAGTACATGTAATATAATGCACTTCTCATCTTCATGTCAATTTAGATAATATACACTCTGTTACTAATAATTGAATTTATTCTTTGGTATTAATTGGTGATGTATCAATTTTTTTTGTACTAAAACAGGATACCACCCTTCCTCACCATTATTCATATGTATCATTTCTCTCAATCACGTTCTTATAACATATATAAAATTTATTTTTTATTAATTTTTTACTCATGACATTAAATGTTTTATTGAATTTGATGAATTTGGTTTTTCCATGAAGGTTTATCGGACTCGTCAAACCCTCCTACAATGTGACAGCTCATGGGATCTTTATCCCGTCATAAGCTCGTCTCCTTAAACTCTTATCTCTATTAGCCCAACTATATGGTATAAGCGTCTTGGTTACCCTGGTCATCTCATTTTTCATATTTTGGTTTCTAGTCATTTTATTCATTGTATAAAAAGAAATCTTCTATTTTGGGAAGCATCTCAGTAGGCAAACATGTTAGCTTCCATTTACTTTATTAGATTTTTTTGTGTATTTTCCCATTTTAGCCAATTAATTAAGATGTATGGAGTTCTCCATTGCAAAATGCAAATTAGTAGTGATATTTAATATTATATCATATTTCTTAATCATTAATCTCATTTTCTACGGGTATATTTGTTACATTTCAAATATGATATTTTCTTTAAATTCCTCCATTTTTGTGCTCACATTAAAACTCAATTTAATCGGGATATTCAATCCTTTCAATATGAAAACAATGATAAATTTGATAATACTCAATTTCATCATCTTTGTGACTCAGAGGTATCCATATCTATTTCTCTTGTGCTCACACTTCCCAACAAAATGAGAAATTAGAAAGAACACTAAGGACCATAAACACCATGATTCATACTAGTGTTTTTCAAACACACCTTCTCTCGCCTATTGGGTTGAAGCCTTACATAGAGCTATCTATCTCCTCAACATTATTCCATCCATGATCCTAAAAAATATCACTCATTTTTGTAAACTCTTCCTTTAAAAACTTACATATTCCCACATATGTTTCTTGATATATCTTTGCCACGTGCACATCACCACCCAAAACAAACTTTCCCTACTAACCACCATGTGTCTTCCTTGGATACCACTCCTAATATCGTGCATATATGTATATTAACCTTACTACTACGAAAGTCATTATTTTACGTCTTGTGGTCGTAGATGAAACCAACTTCCTCTTTGGTTCATGACACCTTTTGGTCCATGACACCTGATCAACCACCATCATATGAGTTTTGTAAATACTTTTGATCTCATTTCTATTATATAATTTCCTACGTATCATACACACACCTAAACTAGTCATCTCCATTCCTAATGCAAAAAAAGAAATTATGAATCATCAAGTAGGAGTAAATTTAAGGTTAAAACTAATTCTAATGTCAAAATTAGTTCAGGACATAGTCAAAAAGAACCTATGGTTGCTTAAAATTACCCTTAATTTTATGGTTTAAATATGTATCTGATAACGCTTAAATTATACTTATATTCCGTGCACTATCTTAGATTTGTATGATTTAAATATGTGTTCGATAACATTTAAATTATACATAATGATCTTACTCCAAAGTCCAAATCAACATTTTGGCAAGTGAAAGTGGTAGTAAATAACTAGTGATACCGAATAATCTAACTCTAGCATGATATCATCCAACTTATGAATAGAGAACTCATCTACATCTTCTAGGTCCACCTATCTTACTCTGCCTTGAATGTATCTTATTATTGGGAAGTTTGTGAACTTCCTACCATGTTGGAGCTTAATAATGAACATGGTGGGATAACCTTTTGTAAAAATCAACAACATATAACAAAAATTAGCGCTTATTAGTCATTTGTAATGCCCATTCATGGTACGTATTAATTCATTAAATGTCTTTTATAAAGAGCTACTCGGTGAGTAGTAGTCCTAACTCGTCGAGTAGATGCCAAGTTGGACGCGAGGTTTAAGTGATCTACTCGGCGAGTCCGCACCTGAACTCGACGAGTAGGCCAATCTGGAGGAAACCCTAATCTTTAGGGTTTGTACCCTATTTAAACGTCCTTATATCCCCCATCCCAGCCTCTAGCACCTTTAAAGCGTTTCCCTCTCAAAACCCTAGCCCTCCATTGGTGAGCTTGAGTGATTCCTTCTTAATTTTGAGTGTTTTGGTGTATTTTTGGAAGTGTAGAAGAAAAGAAAAGAGAGAAGGTGCAAAGGAGAAGAAGGAGATCCAGAAGCTAGCTTCCATTTGCTACTTCATCTGGTAATAAAGCCTCTACCTTATTCATTTTCCTAGTAGATCTTTATATATGCTTGTTTTGCCACTTTTGGGACATTTCAAGGTCCAAAATCGAGATTGGAGCTCCCTTAGGGTAGTGAGCTATAGATCTTGATATCATTAAGCCCCAAGAGCTCAAAGTAGCTACCTTTATGCAAAGCATGGCCTTGTTCCAAACCTTAGGTTCCCATTTCTAGCTTATTTTGGTGTTTTAGCTTCATACCTCAATGCATGTACCTAAAGTTGGCAACTTTACGTGTTATATCGACCCTAGAAGCTCAGATCTATGAATTGGATGCACTGGAATCGATTAGAATCAACTGTTTAGTGAGGACATGCATAGGACTCGAGGAGTTGTTCTTGGACTCGGTGAGTCGGAGCGCAAACCCTCCTGATATCTCCGATTTTAGAGTTGTGAGTTGAATCAGCGAGTGGAAGAGGACTCAGTGAGTTAGAACAAGGATCCAGAAGTAGAGGGACTCGGCGAGTCGAGTCGCGAGTTAGATAAGTGTGAGTCCGGGAACTCGGCGAGTTCATAGTAGGAATCGGCGAGTAGAGTCAACTAGGAAGTTGACTTTGACCAAGGGTAAAATAGTCATTTTACCCTGAGATTAGTTATCAGTATTTGATTTAGTGTTTATGAGATTTGTAGTCGGGGAGTTCCGGAGCAGCAGTCAGATAGTCTTAGATTTAGCACCTCAGCAGCCAGCATTACTAGGCGAGTTTCCTTCCAGTAGGAACGGGTCTATGGCTACAATGCCGACCCATTTAGTTAGCAGTAGTTTTGGACCTCGGTCCGATGCAGTAGTTAGATTGCTTGATGTCTTTGTGATTCAAGCATGTTTTGTGTTATCTGTTCCGGACTTCGGTCCGATGCAGTATGCAGTATATGTGCTTATACTAGTTGATATTAGCGGTGTAAACAAGCCAAGCTGAGCCCGAGCCTGACCAAGCTCGAGCTCGACTCATGAACAATTTAGTGGGCTCGCGAGCCTAATCGAGCCTAAACGAGACTCCACACACACACACACACACACACACACACACACACACACACACACACACACACATATATATATATATATATATATATATATATATATATGCTCGCTTAGGCTCGCGAGCCCATTAATTGAAGCTCGGGCTCATTTAATAAACAAGCCTCATATTTAGGCTTGAGCTCAACTAAGGCTCGTTTAATTCGAGCTCGAGTCGAGATTTTAACGAGTCGATCCCGAGTAGCTCGGCTCACTTACACCCCTAGTTGTTATGTTTATGCTATGCTATGTTATGCTCAGTCAGTTTTCGGACTTCGGTCCGATGCAGGGGACAAGGTCCTAGTCAGTTCCGGATTTCGGTCTGATGCAGTTAGTTCCGGACTTCGGTCCGATGCAAGGGACAAGGTCCCAGTCAGTTCCAGACTTTAGTCCGATGCAGTTTTCAGACTTCGGTCCGATGCAGAGGGCAAGGCCCTAGTTAGTTCCGGACTTCGGTCCGATGCAGTGAGCAAGACCCAATATGTGCTTTATATGTTATTGTATGGTATGCGGTAGTTTAGGGGAACTCACTAAGCTTCGTGCTTATAGTTTTAGTTTGGTTTCAGGTATTTCCACAAGTAAAGGGAAGAGCTCGGGATGATGGCATCGCATACACCACCGCTTCAGTTTTTGTCCTGGGAGTCGATTCAACTTTTCGTAGATATGATTTGATACATGCTTGATACAGTTTTCTCATGATACTTTATTATGGTTTTGAGATATTGACGTATGAGTTTTTATTTTATGATACTGATATAATGATTTAGTAATGATTAAACAAAATTTTTTGGGTCGTATTTTGGGATGTTATATCATTGGAGATGGTTTATTAGGTTTTGAAAATTTCCACTAAGAAACATAACAGATTACCATAGAAATTCCTTGCATCAAAATCTTGATAACTTGGCCTAACTATCCCTACAATGAAGATCAATCGAATGAGTATGGTTGTTTGATTAGGGTTTTCTCAATAATGAAGAGGGTGTGGTGGATAGTCAAAGGATTGATTAATAAGATTTTGTTGAGATTCTCTTTAGAGATGATTATAAAATAAACACAATAAGATAGACAAATGGAAAGACGAAAATACCTCTGGGCTTATAAGCACATCGTAGAAATTA